TGGTCATAAGCTTTTAATTACCCAGCTGAATTTTCAAGTTTATTCTGTCAGAGTAAAGACTTAAGTCTATAAACTATTTTTGATTTTATTAAAAGTCAATTTCTATCAAATTCATTAAGAACATGACCAATAGAATGGCCAAAAGATGGCATAAATCCGAGCTAGAGCTGGACTCTCTGGCAAATTTTAAAACTGTATCCAAGTGGCGATGACATTTCTATCACTTTACCTCAATCTGTCCAATTTACCAATAAAACTCTTGAATCTCGGCTCAAAGTGCTTTAAACGGCAATCGGCCAGGTGGATGTGTGTGCGTGGAAATATGTACACAAAATAAATGCAAAAGTAGTGGTTGAATTTGTGTGTGTTTGTTTATGCGGCAGGACTTGTGCCTTTTAACTTTTTCATAAAAACAACGCAGTCGGCAGTCAGCAGTCGGCAGCAGAGTAGATGGAATGGATGGATGGATGCAGGACCTGCCCAAGCCATGCCCAGCCGGGACAAGGATGCAACTTTCAGCTGCTAAACGAAAATATAAAACACTTAACTCGACTGCAGGGGCGACAATGCTCCCGGCCTCATTCCCCTTCGTACCTCCCAGTGCTTCTGCTCCTGCAACGGCGACATTCAACTGCATCCCGGTCTGGCACTGGCAACAATTTGATGGCACCCTGCCCTCACTGTCCGCCTCCTCTGGCTCCCCCAATGCCACCCCTGGGCTGGGCAAACAAACCCAGACACAGCCGCCCCTTTGGCTGTAAATTTGGGTCACTTTTTGGCAGCCAACAACAGTGAACCGGAAGTGCAGAAAATTTGGCCTAAAAATACATAACATTTATGTGTGTGCAGCTTAGCGGCGTAAAGTTTTACGAACTTGATTACGATTATGGGGCATTTAAATGAGAAAATTAACCCAATGGGTTCATACTAGCTAAGAATATTTTTTTTAGGACTATGTAAAGTGAATTTTAAAAACAAAAAATACATATTTACAACACTAAAGTTTACATATTCATTTCTCCAGAGTTATTAGTGAATTTTAAAGGGGGATTATGAGAAATAAGGTATACAAATATTGAATATATTGAATAATATACATTATAAGTTGAATTAAAACACGTCATCCTATATAGTTTTCCCCGTTTTTTTAAAGCGCCTTCAGAGGCCCTTGCCACACGGTGCCTGAACCGTAGGTTCTGTTAGTGGGGCATTGACAGTGCGGCTTTACAATGACCGAGTGGCGAGGGCTTCGGCCAGGACCGGGGAGGACGTGAAAGGACTTCACGTGGCTTTAATAAATAACAGCTGAAGTTTAAATTGCCGTTAGCATAAATTATGAGCAGTTAGAGACGTTGCCTGCATTCAGCGGGCGACGCCTTTTTGGCTGCGCAACTTTACTTTCCGCTCGTTTCCCTTTCCTTCCGCCACTATCCTTACGAGGATAAGGCTCCTCTCGATTTTATTTTTGGCAAGCATCCTTCTGAACAGCCAGAGGAGCTAGCTAGTGCCACTCTCCTATGCATCAGAGTATGCATAAATACATATATATATTTGTGCCGGCCAAAAAAACACAAGATGAAAAGTTAGCGGCGCAAAGTGAGATTTCAATTTGGCCGACTCGCGTTTTATGGCTGGGAGGAAACATTGCCTCGAACTCATAAAGCATTTCCGGCACTCGTGAATCGGTTGGGGCCCTCGAGGCTTTTGTCCCTGCAGCTAGCTACCCCAATATTGTGGCATGATGTTTGGAGCTAAAGTTGTTTGCTTTTCTTTCTCCTTTCTCCTTTTTTGTTTTTTTTTTTTTCTTGTTTTTTTTGGTCGCAAAACCGAAAGCCTTAGAAAATGGAACGCCGTCTAGCTACTTCCTGCTTCCTGCATCCTCGGCCTGCCATTATATCCACCTTCAAGTATGCACTTGGAAAAAAAATACAGTTGTTATGGTTGTATTATTTACAAACAAGAAAAAAGCTTCTTTGGCCGCAGGTAAGGAATGGATATGAATGATATTATGAATTTCGAAAAAAATCACATTTCACATTACATTTCCGAACGCTCCTATCTAGAATATCTTATATTTATGGTTGGAAATTTTTCCTTCAATCTTTGGCACCGTAAATCTCTTGCTGTAAACAGGGTAAGTTATTTAAATTATTTAATTAGAATGAAATTATGTATATTTATTTAATTTAATTATGTTTTTTCAGAATCAAATAATCTCCCATATGATCCATCAGTTTCTACGGTCTTTGGTTTACCAGAGCTTCAGGAAATGATCACAGACGCAGAAATTAGTTATTTGCAAGTTTTATTTTGAGTGAACTTGTATTTTACGAAATAAGTCCAAGGTTTTAAATGTATAACTAGGTGTAACCCTAATAAATAATTGAAATTATGCAAATTATTACAGTGTAATAGAATACTCCCAGGCTATTCGATGCATACCTTCCATTCTGCCTAGTTTTGTCTCACTTTCGGAGCAGCAAGTACACATTTCTCTCACAATTGTTTGGCAGCGAATAAAAGAAAGCCCCAACAGCTCACCACACGGTTTCCATAACCAGAGTGCAAAGTGAGTTTGTTTGTTGTGGAGCTGTATGGTGGGAGTTGGGTAGAGTGAGTATTATGGCAGTGGGTAGCTTGGCTTCCATGGAATGCACCGACCATGACAGGGCACATGGCCCAGAGCCCAGCAGGGGCTAAGGCATTCGAGCCGAGGGATGTCTGGCGCGCCTGTGTGTGTGCATTCCTCCAAAAACATTTGAATGCCAAGTATTCAAAGCAGCGACAGGAGTGCTGTTCATATGAATATCGTGGCTGCTGACTGCGGGCCATCCGCATACGAGCCCCATACCATACCATATGTACCTATGTATGGGTATCCATATTTAATTCAACGTTTTAAGCCAGGCACAGTCGAATGAATGGCAAACACTTAATTTAATGAATATTGAACCAGTTATTCTATCAACGAGATTTACTTGAATGGCAAAGTGGAACCTAAATGGTATCTAGCCTTGACAGTCCTCTGTGCATCCCAGACCTACCCACATGTTCAAAATGTCAACTATGTAGCTGACAGGACGCCAAATCGTAACAAAATAAAAAAAAGCAAGTGAGCAATAAAGATTTCTCTTTCTTTCACAATGGCATTTTTGTTATTTGTATTTTACTATCAAATACTATCAAATTAGTCAAACCTCTACCCATTTTCATTACCAATTTTCATTAAATATAGTTTTTAAAGGCCTAACAATGTTTTTTGGAAAAGTTCAAAAATATACGAAAATCCCTAAATAACCTTAGTTAGAGTATCAAAGAAAAAATGTAAATATGGGGATTGTTTTCATTTCGATTGCAATCATCGGCAGGAACAGTGGCACAATAAATATAACAATTGAAACGGCAAATACTCTGAATAGGAATTCGTATATACGCTCAAAATGAAAATCTCTAATAAAAAAAGACGTTTCCATTACTGCGATTAAATCGTCAGGACAAAGGACAAAAACACACACACACTCACACTCAGAGACAGTAAGCGATAGATACAGATAGGAAACAGGAGGAAACCGAGGTGAAAAGCAATCCTGCTGCGGTCTTTGCCGGTCTTTGCCTGTGATACGATTTCAGTTGGCTGCCATTATTTCAATTGTTGTTGTTTATATTCATTGGATTCTCCCATTTCAATCCCTTTGCCCCTCCCCGCATAGGATTATTATGAGGATTTTATGGGAATTGCACAATCGGACTGAAGAGTGACCATAAAATATTTCCCGCCGCCCACCGCAGATATCAATTTTTACTGCTGACAATATTAGCCCGACATAATTATCAATCTTTATGGGCCGAACGGAAATGGTCAACAATAAAATGCCGAACGTAGATCTGCGATAACGAATGTCCTCGGCCGCCGAAAGGATGTCGTCCTTGCACCGAAAATGTTGTAACACATGTGTGCACGTCCTGATAAAATTAGCAATTCGAAACTGTTGGCCAGGAAGGGGTTGCCTGGGGTGGTGTTGGTGGTTTCTGGGAGTTGGTAGAATGAAGATGGGATGGGGTGGGAGGTGGGAAGGATATGGCAGGGGTGAAAGGAAACCTGATATTAGCAGCAGATATATTCATGTCGACTGCTGTCGGGCGGAAAGTCATAGCGCAGCCAACGGGGCGGATGAGTGCTGCAGTCGAAAGGGTCTGAGGACGGGGCTGTTTTGTGGTATAACCACCTCATGGCCGGAGCCCCACGCTTCCACGACCCACGCCCACTGGTTGGTGTCGCCACAACGCGGCCCAGCGCGTGTCGAAGCATCTCAGTTGGAAAATGGGTGACAATTCATGACAGGGCATGAGCAGTGCCCGTAATTTGCATATACGGTCGGTTCGTTTCGATGGTCCAATGGTTGGTTGAGCTCGCCTCCTGCATTCCATTCACCTCCCCACTCTCTATGTACATTTTTTTTTGTCATCCACGAGCCACAAAATTCTCTGGCGGATTGGGCAGGACATTTTTGGCTTTGAGTTCCATGCACTTAGCCATGTAGCTTCATAGGATGTTCCACTCGTTGGCAGTGCACATTGTGCTTAAAATTCCCTTTTCTATGCATTTTACACGAAAACTGCCCAAAATGGAAACCTCTCTCATACACATTTTAAATGCAAATGACACCCAATGGAGGACAGATAGCTGGAACGCCGGAGACGGTTTGGGGCGACAGCCCTGTCTTTGTGGCTCGGGAGGTTGCAGATTAAAAGTGAAATTAGTTTTTCCTCTAATAAGCCAATCCAGCCGGGGTGAAATCAGTTAGTTGCCGGCGTGAATTTCAATCTAAATGGGAGGGAATTTAGAAATGGCTTCAAAGCAGTCACTTTCATAGCCATAGCTTTTATTTTTAGTAACTATTTTATCTTTGATACCCCTGTATTCCCCTACTGTTGTTATTGAAGAGGAATAAAGGATTTAATTTTGTTAAAATATCCACACATATGTACAGAAAATTTTGTTGGCTTGCGAAAAAAGGATGAAAGACCCTAGTTCTTCCTGAGACGTTTGTTTTTCTTGCGCATGTGTTTCTTCCACTTTCTCCAATATTTCTGGATCTTGGAGGCGGCGCGATTCATTGTGAAGAGCATGACACGGTTCTGGCGCCGTTTGGCTTCCTCCTCCTCGCGTTTCACGACAATATTCTTGTAGACTCGCTCCAGCTTCCTGAATCCGACCATGTATTCGTCCAGCTCCTTCTTGGCCGCCTTGCCCTGCTCCTTCAGCTCAATGTTTTCAATCATCTTTTCGCCAATAACATTATCGTATTTTTTGATAAGAGCCTGCAGCTGCAGGATATACTTGTTTCTGGATTGGGATTGGGGTAAAGCATTCTGATCGAAAATTGATATTACAACTTACTTTTCCTCGCGAAGGTTCTTTTCAAGTTTCTGGTAGGCCTTGGTCGAGATTTCGTAGTTCTTGCGAGTGTTTTCAATCTCCTCCTCGAGTTCGGCCTGTCGTTCGAGACTGGCCTTTTTGCTGGTCCGAACTATTCGAGTACAGCGATCACTGTGTGGTAGGAGGTTTGTTAATAAAAGGTTCTAGAACTTAACTATTCCCCCTTCTAACTAATAGAAAGTCCAGTCTGAACCACTCACACTTCCATCTGAATTCGGTCGTTTTTCTCACGCTTTTTCTTCATAAGCGTGTCCTCGTAGTTCTTCACATAAGCCTCCTTGGCGGCGATACGCCATCGAACGGCCACCTTTTGCTCCTGAATCTTGCGACGCATGGCCTCCACCTGCTCCGTGACCAACTCGTTCTCCTTGTACATGGCATGCAACTGGCGCTCTTGGAGGATGGCGTCTGTCGATGTCTGGTACAAGCGGTCCTTGGTCAAGTCATAGAGCATCTCATAGGCCTTTAGCAACTTCATTTCTTCTTCATTCAAGTGGTTGTAGTAGCGCGGAAAGAGATGGTACATCCCGCAGTTGCGCTGAAAGAAGTCGATGATCTGAATAATGCCATGGTCCATCAGAGGTGGTCGCTTCTCCTTCAAAATGAAATGTCGGCGTCGCACATAGGATCTTATCAGACGGACGGCGGGCTCGAATTCAGTGCCATTGAGGACCTTGGCCACGTGTGTAGGGTGCTCTAGCAATTTGGGTAGAATAAGAGAGATCTTGACCCTCTCAATCGCCTCGGCCAGGACACCCATCACACAACCGATTTGGGTAACGCGAACATTTGCAAAGTCTATGGAGAAGGTGTTTTTAATCGATTTTTATTATCATTTTTTTATATTTGGTTTAAGAAGAAAAAATCTAAAGTCTTTTTAAACTTGAACTTTAAGATAAATTAAATTAAATAATTTATCTCATAGATAGCATTGCAAGGCAGGTCAACCATCTACAATAATATGTGAAGATACAGAGTCTCTCACCATGTTGGGCCAACTTAATGTCGGTCTTCTTCTCCACCGGCATCGCCTTGCCCCGCATCATCTCTGTCAAACTCATCTTGGTCTCTTCCTTTTTTAACAAGTCTCATGTGAAGCTATGTATTTTTTTTGTATATTTTTTTATGGGCTTTAGGGCTACGCGAGAGTCATTTGTTTAGTATTTGTTCGTGTGACTTTTTATTTTTTTTTATTTTTGGAGCTTTGTTTTTTTTTTTGTATATCAGTGTGTATATGTTTCTGTTTTGAGCTAAAACTCACAGCTGCACTTTGATGGAAGTTAGCCCTGTTAGTCTGATCCCCTAAACGATGACGCCGATTTATGTACAAAATATCGCATATTTACAAAACGAGAGCTCTAGCACATCTATCTGCCGCCGGAGTCCGCTCCGCTGAACTGAAAACTTGCTCAAGTGGAAGCTCTTGTTTGGACTCGAATCAAGTTGACATTACATGGCGTGTTTCAGTTTCAGCTTTCAGTCGCGGACTCCGGACAAACTTTCTAAACAAATGCCCCGGAATTTGTGACTACAAATGCAGCATTTCCTGCTCGAAATGTTAGCTGCACTTTGGATTCTCCTTTTTTTTTTGCCCGCTGCAGCTCTGGTCTGTTCCGCTGTGTTGCCAAAAATTTATGGTTAACAATATTTTTGCCCGGCAAAAGACGCACACAGCTCACAGCAAATGGCAAACAACTTGCATCGAGTCACAGGCAAAGCACCTAAATAAACAAATGCGTGGAGTTTCACGGGCGGGTCCCAGAGGGGGCTTAACGGGCTCCAAAATGGGGGGCGTCATTTGTATGCACAATGCGAACAGCCTCCGACTCCGCCTGGGAATCCGCATCGAGCAGCATGCGCCAGTGAACTCTTTGGGTTTTATCTTTATTCGCCATGTTCTTTGTGTTTTTCACTACACTTCCCTGGGGAGGGGTCACACTCCAAGGACACAAAGTTTGTAATGGAAATAAGGCTAAGGGGGACAGTTCCTAATTTAAATGGTACTTTTTATAAAATTGTTTTCAACATATGGTAAAAATAATACATAGGGTGCTTTGAATTTTTAGAATGTTTATTTTTATAGAAGAATAATTTCATGAAGGTTTTTATCCTTTATGATTCATTATTGATTTTAATGTGTTTTTGTTTATGCATTAACTTACCCCAAAGTCATCCAATTGGTACTTGATTTAGGTTAAGTGTCTTCAACATTGTTAGGATAATTAATGAAGCATAATTATTGATTTGTGAAATTTTTAATGAGCATTTTTAATTACTTAAGTGGATACTACATTTTTCCTACTCTACGTAATCTGTTAAATTTCCTTTTAAATTTTTAAATTAAAATCCCAATGCTTAGATATGTTTGGCGAAAGTGTAGAACAGTTTCGTTGATGAGGCACTCGACTAGCATTTTTGTGTCACTGTTTTTTGCCGTCGTAGTCGTTGTGCGCTTATTGCATTTGTCTCGATTCGTTTGGCCCGCACAAAAACAAATTGCCGGAAGTATGCAAATGTATGATGCAGCTTATCAGATATTGTTTGAGAGCCGGAGCTCTGTTCGTTGTTCCCCTGAATGCCATGGCGATACCCATTGGGTAGGAGGGTACAGTAGGAGGGGCATTGGCATGCCGCTCATTTGCCTTGCAAAAGGCGCGCCTCCTGTAAGCAACCGGCAAACAACCGTCGGGCGACAGCAAATAACTTTCAGAGACACTGCACAGAGATCCCAGCCCCTCGCACACACCCTCGAAAAATATCAAACAATAAAACAGGAAGAAACTAAAAATTGGTAATTGAACTGTCAGCTGCAGCTGGATGGGGGAAATCGAAATTGAATTATATTTGCACTTTGGGCTAAAGATCCATCAGATCGCAGCATCAGGCGAGATAAAATTTAATTGAAATGTTGCGCCAAAGGGTGACGTGGCAGGACTAGTTAGGTGGACTTTAATTAGATATTTATGAAGGAAATACTACAGGGCTCTTGTTCTGGAGCAGACCGTGTTCTGGGCCAAATTAATACATTGGCGAGGGGCGGACGATGTCATTTATCAAACCCGAACTTTGTGACATTTATGCACTGTGACAAGAAAGGACAATCACTGGGCAGCCGGCAAAGTTTCCTTTCGACAGTTGACATATTTTCTTTCGGCTTCGGCTCTTCTACATGACTATTTGATATTTCCATATTTTCTAGGACGACCTCGTTGCTTGGCCCTATTGATAAATGATGCTGATGGATTTTTATTGCCAGGGGCTCTTTTTCGGATGGACAAGAAGACGAGATAGCTGGATTTTTCTAGGGCCGGATCGGGGTGTGAGCCACATGTATGACACGCCGTTGGCCAACTGCTTATCAACGGTTTAGCGCGGCTTGTGTGTCTGACAGGTGAATAAAAGCAGCTGTCAACACTTTTTTATCCCTGTGTGCGTTCCAGGGAGGTGGGCACGGAAACTGAGAGTCCATTAATATTGATATAGAATGTATTGATTTTGCTGGTTGTTTTTTTGCTGCCAAGGCTAAGATTGATGTATAACACGGTCGGCAAACAAGCATTTGAATAAGCCTTCAGGGAACTCTCGATAGTCTCGGCTTTCGGTTCTCGACTCAGAACTCTCGCAACTTGGCTTGAAGTGAAATGCCAGCAATTAGCTTTTAGCCAAAGCACTTGCCAGCTTGGTAAGCTTATTAAATATAAATTGCTTGGTCATCCATCAAAACTCTCCAAGGAGCTCAGGGGGAGGAACATCTGGAGGAAGTCAGAAGGCAAATTGAGAAACAACTTCGATGCCAATTGGCCAAATCCGAATGCATTTTACGGCCACAAAATCAATTCAATGGCTCAACAAGATGCTCGGTTTATGTCGAACGATGCACTTTTCTCCTTCCGTGCCTTCCGGCTGAAAATTTTATGTTTAATTTATTGATACACTCAGCTTGCAATAAAAATTGATGGCAAAAACACATTTACACACAAGCCCACACACACCGGATGAAAGCTGGATCGGGAGGGGGCGGCTCTTGGCCATAATTTTTCATTTCATTGTTTTGTTTCGCAACAGCCGTGGGAAAATGCGCGGCGGCGGATAAAGCCGAAACAAAAAGCAGCCAAAGTAGCAAACGACGAGCTGCGACGAGAAAAAAAGCCAGATCCAAAGAAAAACGAGGAAAATTCTTTTCTATGCGAGAGAGAGAAATTCATGGAAATGCCTGACGGAACGGGAAGCGAATTTTTGTGATATTTATTTGCTGTGCCAGGAACAAGGAAAAAAGAGGAAAAAACTGAGAACTGTATGCTGCGAGTTGGGTGAACTGCAATAAAACCCAAACAGACAAAACAGACGGAAATGAAAGCAAAGAAATAATGTCCCCGGCTCCATTTTCAGTTTCAGTTTCCAACGAAGGCAACAAAAAACCGAAAGTGGAAAGTTTTTGGCCCAAAAAGATGCCAAGTTGAGGAAACTGAGAAACTAAAACCGAAATCGAGAACGGCGCAGCGCTGTTGATTTTAGTTTTTATTGCCATAATTTATACATCTTTGGATAGGACGCGGCGAGGCAACGAGGCGGATACGCAACGCACTTCCCAGCAGCTGCACATTATGAAAAGGCCTTGATAGCACTCAACTCCTGGTCATGGATTTATTCGGTTTAAAGGCAAATCGAAAGAGCGGGCCACTGCAAATCATTTTTAAATGCTTACAAATTTCCAACACAATTTACAACTTAAATATATTTACTGCCACTTCTGGCAAGCCAGAAGAGAACCAAGCCAGAAACCAAAAAAGTTATGAAAAATGTTGAGAAGCAGAAAGCAAAGCACAGCAAATGGAAAATAAATCAATCTTACACTCAAAGTTGGCCAGCAGTAGTGGGTGGGTGGGCTGCTCTGAGGACCGCAGTCGAGTAGAAACGGGAAATTCAATAAAGTTTAAGAATGTTGAAAATATAACAGCATACCTCCAGCAATAGAAACCGGAGCTGCACCTGCAGCTGGTTATGTGTCTGAATAAAATTTTACTATTTGTATGGTGAGCTGGGGAACTCTTAATGGCTTCACTAGTAGCTTACCTCTCCCCATTAGTTGCCGTTGCCTGATCATTTACAATTCAACATTTTTCAGCGCCAGTGAATTATGCTTTCCATGCTTGCCATTTCTATGCCATTTTGCAAGGTATTTCCTACGGTTTCCGGTTACTCGCGGGCCATGGCCCATTTGTGGGTTTTGAGGCTCTGGGCGACAGCAGTAAGTACGCTAATAGCTTCTTTTGACAGCAACGACCCAGAATCATGCGAAAATTCAATTCCACAGCATTTTCTCTTCCGCAGAAATAAACAAGGAATTGTATTCAATGACTTTTATGCATGATACTAAGCCTGGTTTTTATTTTTCCGTCTTATATTAATTGATTCCCTACACGATGCAGTCACGAAACGAATAAATCGAACTTTAATTTCACCTTTATATGCTGTTATACCCCTCAATTGAAATCCCAATTTATATGAAAATGGCAGAATCCCCCCAACAGTCTGTTATTAAAGGACTGTCAGTCACAAGTGCTTGGACTGCAGGTCCTGTCACACATGGGAGGGGTGAGCTTTGATGGACTGATGCTTCAACTTAATAAGAGAATTTTCACTCAAACAGACTAAAAAACGAAACTAAGTGAGTGGAATTGTTTTGACATTGAATGGCAAAAAAGGAGCCAACAATTGAAACAAATTAAGGAGGGTGAGGCACGATTGAATCGATTGTTGGCAGCGTGTTAACAAAACCACTTTATGCAGTTCATTGAAAGCACTCCCTGCCCCTTGTTCATATTTTTTAAACTTTTTTATCAACGCTTTTTATGCTCTTCCAGAGCAATTAACGAGCACACACGGACACACACGCTCGGGGATCATAATTGTTGTCGTTGGAAACTGAAGAGTCCTGCACAACAATGCTGGCAACACCAACAACAACTGCAATGCTAACAGTTGTAAATTCGAAAATTTCAAGAGGTGCACCATGGGGCAGACGTGGCAAGGTGAAGCTCGGGCTGGGAGAACATCTGTTCCAGCCAGGCGGCACTCGTTCATTTTTAATGTATGCAACTGCAATTGAGCCGCCTCGGGCTGAAGAGACAGTGTCGAGAACTTTCCCACCGCACATGGCACACCTTACTTTTATATCTCAAACTTTTTGCCCCAAAATGTGGATGA